GATATGGGAGCTCAGAATGAATCGAATAAGATTTGGTTTTTCTGGAACTCGGGGACTAATGTTACTATTATTGTTGATCATCCTCAGTTTCTACACGTTAAAGTTGAGGACCCCAGACTAGCTCTTCCCATCTATTTTACTCCAGTTTACGCTTCTTGTGATGCTTCTGTCAGGAGGGATTTGTGGGCGGGTCTTCACCACATCTCCCTCGATATGGAGGACCCTTGGATAGTTGGGGGAGACTTTAACGTTATTACTCATGATGGAGAGCGCACGGGTCATAATACTCGTGATCGAGGCACTACAGCTTTTTCTGATATGATGTTGGACAGTGGTCTAGAGGATGCAGGTTTCCTTGGGAATCGATACACTTGGACCAATGGGCGGGTCAGGAAGAGATTGGATAGAGTACTCATTAATTCTTCAGCTGCAGCATTTTGTCGACAGCTTACAGTGAAGTACTTGAACAGGACTTCATCTGATCACTCACTCTTACTACTTCAGTGGACTTCTGATGATGACTTGGGGCCTAGGCCTTTCAGATTCCTCAACGTTTGGACCAAGCATCATGATTTTTTAGCATTTGTCTCTCAGAAGTGGTCACTCCCCACTCATCTTGCGGGGATGGCTGCTCTTTGGGAGAAATTCTTTAGGATGAAATAGGGATTGCGCTGGTGGAATCGACATGTGTTTGGAGACATTTTCCAGCGAGTGAGGGATGCTGAGGACACGGTTGATGAGGCAGAAATTGTATTTGACAGTGACCCTACACCGGAACATCGTGACATACTGCATCAGGTCCAGGCAGCTTTGAACCAGACTTTATCTATTGAGGAGGGCTTCTGGAAGCAAAGGGCTGGCTCACGTTGGGTATGTGAAGGAGATCACAATACTCGATACTTCCATGCGATGGTTCAAGGACGCCGTATCAGATCGCGTATTAGGTCCATCAGGATATAGGCAGGGGAAGTCTTAGCTACTCCTGCTGATATTCAGACCTCGGCTATTGATTTCTACCAGGATCTCTTATCTACTCCTCCACAACCTTTGGACCACATCCGTTCTGATGTCATTCCGAGGCTTTTGACGGAGGATGATAATTTGGCACTAAACCGCCCCCCTTTGATTTATGAGGTACGGGAGGCAGTTTTCAGTATTGATGCTGACAGTGTCGCTGGCCCGGATGGCTTCTCATCCCTATTCTTCCAGCATTACTGGGATATTATTCAGGAGGATGTTTACAGGGCGGTATTGGACTTCTTTGATGGTGGTCATCTTCCACGGGTTTTGCTGCTACTTCTATTGTCTTGCTACCTAAAAAGGATGGTGCTTGCAGATGGACTGAATTCAGGCCAATCAGCTTATGCACAATGTTCAATAAGATTATTACTAAGCTTTTGAACACTCGGCTGAGCACACTGCTACCGCGCATTATTTCCCCTCCGCAGAGTGGTTTCATCCCAGGCCGTCTGATTGGAGATAATGTTTTATTGGCTCA